CGGTATACACTAAAGGCCTATTTATTCCTGGCTTATCAAACTACGGTCACAGACCGTTTTCAACCAACACCAAGCCTTTACCGCACTCAATCACTACCCGAATCACAAAGAGCCAAGGTCTTTTAACTGCAAGTAGTTTACATATCAATGGTGCGTGGCACCTGTACATGCAACAATGGCATAAAATACCATAGCACATAACTTAACGTTTTGAATTGGTAAACTGTTCCAAACTGTATTTCGCAATAATAAGTGTGAGTACTGCATGTAACTTCTAACACACGATTCCCAAACAGGCTTCGAATAAGTAGTCAATCAGTTCATGCAACGCAATGTTGATAGGTTATCCACCACTATAATGAAGGTATATCACGGGCTCGAGGCCACCTACAGTAAAATACCAGACATTTTACAATAATAATAATATTCATCTCACTAATAAGTGCTAATTGGAAATATTACCCACAAACTGTTTTTAAAACCTACTTACAATTGTTGTAATGTTTACAGCTTATAGGTTAACATAATCCATGTTTATCCTGACATCTACACGTACGGTATACACTAAAGGCCTATTTATTCCTGGCTTATCAAACTACGGTCACAGACCGTTTTCAACCAACACCAAGCCTTTACCGCACTCAATCACTACCCGAATCACAAAGAGCCAAGGTCTTTTAACTGCAAGTAGTTTACATATCAATGGTGCGTGGCACCTGTACATGCAACAATGGCATAAAATACCATAGCACATAACTTAACGTGACAGCAGTCAAAAAAAAAAAGAATTCTAAATCAAGCCAAAACATGTCTTTCACAGTCATAGAGTGCCATTTTCAGCCATCCAGAGGTCCCTATTTAAAAAAAATCTCATTTGGGAGTGGGAAACACCTCCCACACCCTAGAACCACCACTAGTGTATCCTTGAGTTTTCTTTAGGCCAAACAAAATTAATTTTGTCTCAAGTCACTTTTGAAAAATTCAATGCAATTTGTCTCATGTCACTTCCGGCTTTAAAAATTCTGTGTATGATAATAAGTCAAGTAGGGCAAACGTCATTTTGATTAAATCTCTCAAATAGCATTGCAGTACCCGCTGACTTGCAGATCTGATTCAACACTAGTCACTGAGCACACTCTTAGTGGTCTAGTGGTTATGACACCATGCTATTATCTGGAGGTCGTGAGTTCGTTTCCAACACGAATCACTGGAGACATTTTTTTGCAAGTATTTGGGAATGTATTGAGGTAGGCCAAGACATTCTGATTCAATTTCCAGATGCAAAACACCATTGAAACACAATGCGATTAATTACATGTCCAAATGATTTCAGTGGGCTACAATGATTGAGCTATGGAATAAACTTGATGAAGAAGGAATTCTTGAGGAAGAGTTAGTCAGACATCTTTGGAGAGATGAGCTTGCCAAAGATGAATCTAGTTTTGAAGTCTTCTTGGAGTTGATGAAGCAGTTTGGACTACTCTGTGAGCAGATCAAGGTATTGCTTTTTTCTTTTCTTTTTTTTTTGTTGGAGTTCAGATAGTCAGTCATCCAGCTAGTTAATGATAAGTTGACCTCTGCCCCTTAACTAACTTAATATACTGTACAGTGCAATCAATCCTAATAAGAATCTATTAAAAATTAAATTAATGTAATTTTTTTTTAAAGGCAAAGAAATGCAAACTTAAATGGTGACTTATTCCATCTTTTCATTGTAAAATGAAATTCATCAAATTATTTTAGAAAAAAAAAGGAGTTTAAATTATTTTAAAAGTGTTAATCTTACTTTACCTTACATGCCATTTAGATTGCAAAACTTTTGATTATTTAAAAAGCTGGTCACATAATATGTACATTTTTCTGTTATTTTCTATCTTTTTTTTTAATTCATTCGTTTTTTCTCAAGAATCAGGAAAGCAAACATCGCTCATTTTTTGTACCCTGTCGATTGAAACGTAGCAAAGACAATGTGTCTATTCAACTTGATACAGCTCAGATGGTATCTATCTATATGGCATCCGAGGATTTCATCCCTGATAGTGTCTTCCATCCTCTAGTTGTCAGCTTGATTGGAATGGTACAAGACATGGGCTACACAGCCATGCTGGAATTATTTAGCAACTATGCTAACATCCGCCTAGGACTTGAACACACTCTCAGCTTAGGACCAGTAGTCATTAATAACAAGCCCTCATTGAAGGTAAGATGATAAGTGATGTCATTTATTTGCTATTGGAGTGATAGGTAATGAAATTCAAAATAGAAAATCAAAGCCAATCACAACATAGAGATGAGTTATTTTCATTGTACATTCTTTTATGTTTTTTTTTAAATTGTTGTATTGTATGAATAAAAACATTTTTTTACAGTAACACCTGAGAGATAAGCAAATAAGGGATAATGCTCTTGCTTTATTCCTACAATAGGAGTATTAATGAGAGTAATTTACAGATACAAGGCACATGGCCAAGGCACTGCCCACAAAAAAAAATATATAAATAAATAAAAAGAGGTACTCAGAAACAGCTATTTTCCTATTTAAATTCCATGTACCATGGTCAAGCATATCTAAACAAAAATCTCAAACACCATCCCAACTTCTTTCCCTGCTGAGTGCTTTGCATCTTGCATGGCCCTACACAGACTCAGATTCAGATATTTATTATGTCAAAATGTCAATGCACCATGATAATTGGTTTCCACAGTTCAAAAATACAAATAAGACTTAATTATATATCTACTAAATACTTGGACTTTCTGTGGATCTACCTGTGATTTACAATAAAAGTGGCAAGTAGCTTGCAGTTGAATTACAATAAATGTAAATAAAAGATTGGATTGTTCACTTAATATATAGTATATATTGTATAAATATATTTTCTGGCATGCATGATTGAATTATTTATTGATTTTATGTTTGTCTTTTAGCTGGAAATATTACGGGTGCCTATCACTCAGGAAGATGGTACCAAGACACCAACAGGTGAACCCAGTCCTAGAGTCTGTATGCAGGTATTCTAGTTTGATATTTGAAATCTTGCAATTGAAATAGTAGCTGTAAAATTACACAAATCAGTGGTGATGTTCCTTATTAGTGATATTACCTAGAGATCATAGACATATTAAGTAGATTTATTATCTATTTGTATTTATAACAAATAAATAAAAAAAATTAAAAAATAGATTTATCTGGGTAAGGGTGTATGAGGGATATTCTTACTACTGTCCTTGTGTAAATATACTATAGATATAAGTACAATCCAAATCCTGTCTCTTATACACATCTAGATGTGTATAAGAGACAGCCA